ACACAAGTTTGGAATAGTACGCTGAAATATTCCAAGTGACATCATATCAGGAACAGTTCATCATATGCAGGAGAATTATTCTTTACTTATTTAATTTTTGTATTGACAAAACATAGATGTAAAAGGTTGTAAAATATATATAGTGGATTTAAATTCGATGAACCATTTACATTACATACCTATAGTTCAAGACTACAATCAATTTTGTTTTCCGATTCCACCATAGTATTTATACACCAATTACACTCAAGAGGACTGGACTCCTTGCAGCAACCACAATAAAATGTTGATCCATGATTCAAGTGGGATGTTTCATGGCACCACGCAAGATTTACATAACAGTTTATATTATGTCAATTTTCGTTATAATGAATTAACCCTTAAATGTTATGTCAAAATTCAGACCATGTCAAATTAAGGATAGCCCATACCAACTGCACTTGAAAAATTATTTATTCCAAAAAAAAAAAACTTGAGAAAAATGTATGTCATACAGAACAATATACTAGTATATCATTTGATGAAAAACTTCGTGCACTTATGTTTGGCTGATAATTCAACAGCGCCCTCTATAGACCACATTATCAACATGAAAATACAGTTTATTGGAATGCAAGAGAACTGCACAGCCCATATATAAGATGCACTTTAAGTATAATTTTTACAAAGCTATGGTAGACCGGTATCATTTGATAATATTAAAAAGACATAAATCGTAATTTTTCACTTCTTCCAATTTAAAAGTTAACTTAGCATTTAATTGGGTCTGTAACAAAAAAATGGACGTGATATTAAACTAAATGTCAAAATTATGCCTTATGCTGTTATATTCCTTGTCATAAACATTGTAAAATGACATCAATCATTTCTCAGCCCTGGCTTGCTGAATCCACTTTGTAATGTGATATTTTTCTTGATTTCTGGCGTCAATCACCGACTGTGGATCGCCTTTGTCTTTAGACCTCAGATCTAAGTGGTGAGCACCATCCTTTATCACTATAGCAATCAGTGTCTCTGACAATGAGTGAAGAACGCCCCCACCAGACCACGGATCAAGTTCTCCATTGCTGCAATAGAAAGGTAGGTTTAGAAAAGTGTTCATGGTCAATCACCAAAATCTGAGCTTGTACTTGTACGTTGGTATCATAAAAACTCTTGATAAATGGAGAGGTGGTGAATTGAGAAAGTGATCTTTCAGTTACAATTTGATCTCTACTAAGAATAGCTATAGATGTATCCCATAGTTCAGCATTGTTAGTCATATACTGCTGTGCCACACTCAAGTTGAAACAAAATGGATGACAATGGCTGCCAGTCAGCCATGTTGATCAAATCTCCATTGTACATATGAATAGCATGGATAGATACAGAACACAAATATAATTTCACTGTTTTCAGATTACATCCAATCTGAAATAATTTAAATTAATTGTTTCATCACATGACTTACCTGAATATAATATTACTGCTAGCCGTTATTGCTTTACCTCCATAGTGTGTTACAATCCAGTCAGCTCTTGGTGTGACACCCCAAGTATTCTGACATTCCTTAACAAAGTCATCGAAGTTCCATTTATTAGGAGGAAACATATCATGGACGCCATCGCTGCAACTCGGCATTACCATCTCGGTACAAGACTTGAAAAGAAAATATCCAAAACTATATTCACTTAAAGGTGAAGCTGACAATCCTTTGGATGACACTATGGAATCTTGGGATACCATGTCAAAATTGTTATTTTGCTTTTGTTTCCCAATGTTAATTTTAACCAGCAAATAAATTCATGTGGAATGTAACAAGAAGTATTCAATGTTCAGAAAATAATTTGTTATCAATACATTTATATGTATCAGGAAAATATTTCATTTTTGATAATTTAAGATGTTTTTTTTCAGAGAGTCATGAAAGAAGAAAGTCATGTGTTCTAATTCTGGGTAGGTAGCTAATTTTAATTAAACTTGGTATTGTGTGAAACCATTGCTTTAAATATTGTAATATTATTTAAATATAGTAATGTCATTTACAATTAAACATCAATACTTGCCTGATAGGACCATCCTAGCTCACCCAGAGAAGACACCGCATCTTGTGATATATTGAAGCACTGTGTTTTGCCAGTTGTATTGTAGTAGACTTGCAGAGATGATGCAACACTGTTGAGGAGCGGTTTATCTAGCAATGAACTGTTGGTCATATAGGAACAGGTTTTCTGTCAAGAAATAAAGTGCATCACTGTGTTTGTACTAATTTTTGAGACCGATTATAATGTAGAACAACTGATATGAAAAAAAATTACACTGAATCAATCAGTTGATTTTTTTATCATCAGTCAATATCACTGTGTCAGGTGACAGCTTAGGACAATATCACTGTGTCAGGTGACAGCTTAGGACAATATTACTGTGTCAGGTGACAGCTTAGGACAATATCACTGTGTCAGGTGACAGCTTAGGACAATGTTACTGCTCTCTCATTGTTTTTAATTTGAAAATTGCAAATCTTGCATATACTGTAGAATACTTTATTTTCACTTGGAATTTATTTTCGCTGAAGGGATGATTCCGTGAAAATAAAATCCAGCGAATATACTTTTTTTCCTATATTTTACATTAAACTCATCAAAAATCAGTGAAAATAAATTCCATACAAAATGCCCAAAAAGCCTTTTCAGTGAAAATTAATTCCAGCGAAAATAAAGTATTCCACAGTAGTGTATATTGAAACAGAATCCATATTCCATGTTTAGGACAGGGTTATGTGACCATATCCTATCATAACGGCATTTAAATTAAAACCAGCCATGATTGAACACTGGCAACTGTGAATTGTAAACATTTGGTTTTTGGTATTGGCATGGTTTTTCCAATTTAGTAATACTAGTATTCCAAGATTATATTTTAGCAAAGCCAGAAACCTTTATTGGCCATGCAGGCAGCGGTTCTAAGAATGATGCAGGGTATGGATAATCCACCATGGCAAGGTTGAACCAGGTATTGGACAGCCAGCTAGACAGGTCATTGACATCAGCAGGTGTCTTCAAAGGGGTACATAAATGAAACGCCATAGTCAACCATTGACGACCACTCTCTGTTCACAAATAGATAAGTGTACATTTGAAATCTATAGATCAAAGTTTCTTTATACAGAGGTCTTTTTCTTTACAGACATAAACATTTTTTTAAGGTTGCCTACAGCATAATATTCTATAATTTTAGACCATTCTACCGGTAATTGTCATTTTGACAACTCATCAAAATGAATCTATAATAAAAAAAATTTATGACAAATGTATTCATATTTATATTTATAAATGTTGATGTTTTTTTATTATTGAATCATGGACCTAAATTGTACTGTTATATAAATCTAGATTTCCATAATTTGTTTTTAAATATGAAAAGAACATCGTACAATGAAAATCTTCAACTTTCTTATCCTTCTCTTTCAGGGAAAAAAAGGCGTCAGAAATTACTCAGAAGAAGATTTACTTAGTATTTTAAAAGACAGTGGTTGCTGCACCGCCTCGATATGGGACTTATAGCAATGTACATAACGCATGTAAAATACATTGTTTGTTTACATGAAATTCAAGCACGTACTGCGCGACAACCACCGTCCTTTAACATTACATTAAAAATTACAATTAAAGCTTAGAGGGAATACTGGTCTAATATAATCAGACAACTAACAGACAAAATGAGATGTGAAATGGTTAAGACTGTACCCTGATCCTTCATCCTGTTAATGGCATTCCACGATTTATGTATAGTTTCAGCACAGTCCCTGCCAGCTTTGACAAAGTCTTGTGTTATGATAGTGAAGAGAGTATTACATGGCGTCAGACCTGGGAACTGCCAAATAGGTGCAGAAGCTGCTAATGCACTATGGGAGACAGATAAAAGTCAATATATACTCATTTCATGAGAACACAATAAAGGTATGAAAACAAAAATGTTGCAAATACTGACTTTTTTGAACGGTAAAAACAAAAGCGCAAATTATCTTATTGATTGAGGGTGCTTTGTATCAAGCTACCTACCCATCAACTATATTAGGGTATTTCATTCTGAACCATGCTGCCATCATACCACCGTAAGAACCACCAAACACAATGACTGGACTTTTATCTGCTCCGGGTCTACTGCTTTTAATGTACTTTATCAAAGTAGCGAAGTCAGCCAACGCTTGCTCGGATGTCAGATATCCAACATGTTCGAGGTCCTGCAATGAAATTAAATATGAGAAACTAAAAATAAACAAATTCTAATTTGACAGGCATATTGTCAACCACTTTGCTCTTACCGAGAATGACTCGTTACCAAACGGCAGTGATTCCCCATAGTATCGATGTTCAGCAAAAATAACCATAGCTTTAAATTGAGGTGCAATATCCCATATAAAACCCTGAAAACAAAAGTAAAATAATTAATGAGATAGTACATTTCCAATGAAAAACAAACAATGTCAATACCTTATCAAATATGGAAAAAAACAAATATAAACAAATATTGTTCTGTTTTTCAGGATCAGTTGTGGTGATTGTTGCAAGGTGTATACTCTAGTCAGAGTTTGGTTTACCACAACATGTCACACCACAGTCTTAGGGAATATCAACCACAAGCAACATCACGTAATGGTTTTTATAATCACTGACACCTGCATCATGTTTCTCCATCTGCTAAGTACAAATGATGGTTCCATTGTCAACAATCTGGGTAAGCTTGGTAATGATATTTTAAATGTTTATTTTATATGTTGCACATTTTAATGTTGTGCTTGTGTTATGTTCAGGTGATCATAAATTATGTATTCGTTATGTAATGTCAATTAAAATACTATACTATATGTCTCTATTGTTGAATGTCCATTCTAGAGTCAACTAGGTGCAATAGGTTTAACAATGAATGCAATATCTTGTTTTGTGTGTCTGTCCACTTAGGAACTTCATTTTTGATGACTCGCCATCCCAGAATATAGCGCCCTCAGACTACACATTGTAAAGCCTATGCCCGGTATACTAAAATACGTCTTGACACATCCTTACCGTATTGTTACAGAACCATGTGATATCGCCCTCATTGCCAGTATAGAAAAAGATAGGACCACTAGAATTCCAATAATCATCTGACAGCAAATATCGTTGACTAAATGTACCGTTATTTGCAAAATTAAAATGGTCTAGCTGAAAAAAAATAAAGACAGCAAATTTTCTTATTCACATGTGTCTGAATCATAGTGAATAAGTCAATGATCAGTGAATAGAAGAGGATTCTATGAACAAACTAATATCAGGAATGCTAAAAATAGTTAAATTAATAATTCAGAAATATGGATAATTTAAAAGAGGCAAACATTGTAACTAGATACTACTTCTACCAAGGGACAAACTATTATTACATTCTTTGGGAGTGGTTATGATGGCATTACAGTTACAGAACAACTTTACAAAGTTTGTTATCTTTAATGAGGTTGCCACCATTCAGGGAAAACAATTGTTTCTGTTTGGTAATACCTTAACCCTCACCTTTAAAATTTGGAACCAGATTAAAGTATAGCAAATTATTTGTTTGTTCACACACTGAAATTGGCCGTTGCCATAAATGTAATAAGCATTCTCTCACAAATCTGTTTTAATAATTTGTTACATTCTTTCGCAAGTTGTTTCGCATTTGTTTTCGATTGCTGATCTGCCATCAACCCTTTCCAAAATATTTCAATGGTCCATCCCTGAAATGAATCCTTGAAGATGAGTGAACTGGGTGTACTGGATACATCTTTAGTACGTTGGTCGTATAAATACTTCGTATTTTATTTTTAAAGTTAACGAACCACTTATAGGCCAGGTAGTTCACCTCAGCTGACCTCGGTACTGCATACTGGTCACAACAACTTGAATTAAAGTTTGTCACATGCTTACATCAAAAGGGGCGTCGCCCCCGGTGTAACTGAAATTGACTTACCGTTTGTTTGAAATACAGCGTTTGGTAGTTATATTTACTTAATCTCAGTCTGGAACCATGGTCTGGTTTTATTTGTACTCCCAGTCCTGGCCTGAATCGAGAAAGAATGTGAGATTTGGACTCGGTGTCAATCAAACGCGTTGAAGCAGTGATAATTATTGCGAAAAGCGCCACGATGTAGTTAATAAGCGTCATAGTTTCGATTTCTGTGTTTTTACTGTCAAATGCAACAAGTCGTCGTAATTTGTGAAGTGATTCCGCTCACCTCCAACTGATTGTCACACGGTGTCACTTCGCCTTCGAGCGCTTGGGCGCGAAATAAACACAACACAGCTGATCGATCGAAATACTCTTCCGGGTTCACTCTTTGTTATGCAAATGAGCTGACGCCAGAATAGAAGTGGAGTTTTGAATCCAATCAACTTGCTCTGTTTGCTCGCTATCTGATGGCTATGGATTTCCCGCAGTTTTAACTTGTTATAAACCTCGCGTAGATTGCATTGTAGTATATCTGAGTATATGTAAGGCAACCCTTACTGGAATATAGCTGTTTTTCGTGGCTTCAGAGCGACACTTAGGCACTGCAAAGAGAACTAACTGATCGACGAGTGGTGAAATTTGTGGAATCGACGACGGGGTCGCACCAACGATGTCCCCGATCGATATTCATTAGACATTATCAGCAGCGGTGGAATCGATTTACACGTGGTTCTTGTTTGAACTATTTGCTGTAACGTGTGGTACGAGTTTAAGTTGGGCTGCCTGGAATTCCGGACTATTAAAGAGACGTTTTACTTGGGGTGTTTCACAGTCACAACAATACGCCCAAGCGCCCACCGACGACCGTTGACCAACGTACTGCACTGTTGCCGGTGAATGAACTGGACAAAATCCCCCCCGTTGCTGACATCGATCATTTTATCGCAATATCTCTTTAAATATATATGTTTACAGACTATCTGATTTCGCTAAATTAGCGGTAACGGTCGAAAACGCATTTTATTCCGGATTACCTTGCAGTGGCATTATTGGACGAAATTTTGTGAATGAAAAATGGCGTGTGTGCAGATCCGAAATCAACAATACGATCACCAGGAATGAACTGGTGACAGTCAGGTGTTCAGGCCGAGGCTTGGCGACGGACATACTTTTGACCCATGGAGAGAAAAGAAAGGGCATTGGAGGAAATTAACCGATCTTTAGAACCGGGATGGCAAGCCAAGCTGAACGCAGACGGCCGTCTTTACTATATCAAGTAAGTAGCTCGTTACCTTGGGAACGCGAAGCTGTTTAAATAGATTCCGATTTCCGATCAATGCTTCTGGAACAACGATTACAAAAAAAAATATTTTTATAAAAAAATGTTAATGATTTTTGGGTGGAGAGTTGTACAATTCATTCAATGTATGAGTCATTCATTGTTGATAAAAATGTGAGATAAATTTGTAATAAATAACAAATTCTATATGCGTTTGGATACAATGAATCCCTGACGTGAAGATCATGTGGAATTAACACATCATTGTAAAATTATGAATGAAAATTTCTGGTCAGAATATATCCTCAGATATTATTACAAAAATATTGCATTCTATAAAAAAAATGGTTATTATTATGCACTTCCGCATTTAAATATGAATATTAGTGGCCTTCATGTAAATCATATTTTTTATTAGTATTCTGATTTTTGTCAATGGATTCTAGAACTACTTTTAGGTTTGCAATTGTCACCAAGTCTATTTTCAGTCTGTCTTTCTTTTGAGTTTTACATTTTTTCCCAGTCTGGTAGCTAGGCTGTGTCTTAATCACTTTCACATAAAAAACAGTAGATACGCACCGGTCTTTACGATATAATCACCTTTGCGATATTCTCATTAACCTTTTTATTTTTGTACATATTTGACTAACAGTAGTTGTATTTATTGCGAGATATACCAGCCCTAAATGTCATTACAAAACATTTCACCAGATCCGTGTCTGTGTCATCAATAATGTAGAGAAATAGGTGAATTCTTCGATCCCTCTGCTATGAAAATTTATTGTTTTCTACAACACTCCCCGTTTCTTAAATGCTACTTACTACAACTGATTTATCACCAAATACATATAAATAAAAAAATGAAAACAAAAGCTGTCACCCAACAAAACTGTAGTATTGTTATTTTATTGATCTTGACTGCAGGGTATACCCCTATAGTATTGTTTTTGGAATGCAAGTTATTCTAACAATTCTATCGTTCATTGAAGAATCTTCTGATGTTCACTGGTTCACTGATAAACTGCACTGACTTGATTTCCACATGTGCACGTCTACATTTCCTATCTGCCATTAAGGACATAATTCAAACATTTTATCTCTGCATGACATTTATGTGAATTTAAATTAGATAAAACAACAATTTTGTCTGTCTGTCAGTTTTTATTCCCTAAAAATGTTGTATTGTCAAAGCTGTTCAAGAAAGTTAGATTTACAAATATAGACACATCAAGGGTTTCAAGGGTAAACAACTTTGATACACATGTAGATACATATAATATGGATATGTTGAAAATCTAATTCAATGAAATGCATTTCTTACCATTAGCATCACAAAACGCAGTGCAGAAAGCTTGGAAATGTTCAATTACGTAAACTGAAATAGCCAAAAACGCATCATGTTGTACACACTTTGCAATTAGGCAGAACAGCCTGAGACAAACACTAACCAGTTCTCTCATAGAGATCACTTATTTGCATGAAAGTATTTCTAGAAATGTGAGTCCATAGTGCCAGGGACTAAGAGCATACATGTATAATGTAATATAATGTTGTAAATATTTGGAATTCTACTGTTGTGATGCAAAACTATTTGAGGGTGTTGTGAAATCTGAAATATATATGTAACACATTTATATCTTTTGATGTTCATTTTGAGAAAGCTACGTTCTCCATGAATTTTCTCATTTTTGTTAATACTTTGTGATCGTAGTACAGCATACATTTGTGCAAACATTGTATCTTACATGCATTGTAATTACGAGTAGAGTATTATTTTCTTCGTGGGATATTGATAAATTTGGCCAATGGTGAGCTGTTTTTTGTGTTCCAGGCATCAAGCAGTTTAGTCGCTTCAATATTCATCTAATCGATGACTTCCTGTTATTAGTTTACCATAATAATACAAAACACTTGTGATGTCAGATGAATATTGTCATTCAGCTACAGGCCTCACTTTCATTTCCTGTGCATTACCTCAATTTATTTTTTCTTCTAATTAGTGCGTAATAAATATGTTTGCGTTTCATTCCTCCAGGGTGCTTTTTCTGTCTGTGTCATATTGGAATTCACATATGTTTAAATAAGAAGAGCAGAATCACGTTTCTCACGTATTAAAACTTTCGGTTTGACTCAGTATCATTGCACATTGAGTCATTGTAAGCCATTATATGTCTTATTTACCGCTTTAAGGTACAAGAGATCAGTGGTGATATGAGTAATTGTGGTGATATGAGTAGTTGTCCCCACCATGTTAAAATCGCTATTATTTCGCTACAGAAATTTTTTCTTCTTTTCTCATTTTTGCTCTCAAATTTAACAAAATTTGTTCCCAAAGTCCATATTTGTAGAGATGTGATATTCATAATACTATAGATTAAGAATTACAATATAATAATAATAATGACTGAAAACTCTAGGATATTTTCAAATTTAGTTTTAAAAAGTAAAAAATGGGTCTGATTACAAGTTCAATTTTTTTTTAAATTACATTTTTATTAATTTAAATATAAAGAATGACTGAATGTAGAATAAAATAGTTCAATCAATGAGTGGTAACTGGGAAGCTAGGATGTATTGGAATATGTAAATTGTAATTTGAATATATAAATTGTTACTTGAATATGTAAATCGTGATTTTGAATATGTAAATTGTGATTTTGAATATGGAAATTGTGATATTGAATAAGGAAATTGTGACTGCAAATTGTGATTTTGTATATGCAAATTGTGATATTAATATGGAAATTGTGATTTGGAATATGAAATTGTGTTTTGGAATATGCAGATTGTGATTTCGAATATGTAAAGTGTGATTTTGAATATGCAAATTGTAATTTTGAATATGCAAATTATGATTTCGAATATGCAAATTGTGATTTGAAATATGCAAATTGTGATTTGAAATATGTAAATTGTGATTCAAATATGCAAATTAATTAAATATATGGCGTGTACATTTCTTTTGGCTTCTAATTAATGGAATGCATTAGTAGAAACATAAATAGCTTCTTATTTCACATAAATAAAGACTGAGTTGTAAAGCTCATGAAACCCGAGAACAATTTGGCAGCCTTTTCATGAAAAAAGCTAAGCAACTAGAGAGGCCGTCTCAATATACAAACTGTTATGCAAACTCATTGGCTTGAAAGAAAATGAGAAATTTTATATTGTATATAGTGTTTGGAATAATTTTTTTTTCTGTGTTTTCAAAAGACTGCAACAGTCTGTCATGCGAAAACTAGCTGTTAACTCTTTAAATGTCATCAACATTTCGATGCTGCATCTTGCACGTTTTTATATATTTTATAAATTTCTTTTTTTAATTTTGGGCCACATTGACATAATTTCTTAAGTCTTATTTTTGAAAAAAAAAATCATGAGAGTAATTTGGTGAAAGGTAACAAAAGTTGACTTTTGTGGTCAAAGAGTTGATGAGGTTACGTGCACTTTATGCAAATTTATAATTTACTTATTAATTAAAATCCTATATGAGCCTTAAACCCACCTTGGAGCACATTTCATTTGGTGATTTTTTAGTGTGTACTTCTAGCATAAATATTATTACAACTATTGTGTTAACATGCTGTTAATACTGGAAACAAATTAAAATGGATTGAACCAGTGTTTTGCAGGTATGTATTTTAGGTTCATTTTTCTACTTAAAAAATGGAATTTCCATCATTCTTTTCCATTAAACATTTTCTCGATTTTAAAACAGGCTTTCATTTGAATCTAAATTGACATGTACTTTTATTTAAATAACCTCATGTTGTTTGTTGGTCTTCCCCTAAAAAGGATATCCAATTTTTGCAAAATAAATGACCATAATCAAAAACGACACTGTCAAGAGAATTTGATAAACTGTCATGGTTGTTTAATTTTTGACTCTCTGTCAGCATAGCCTAATAGCACCTGTCATGGTATGCATAAAATCCCAAATCAAAATTGACGGCAAAATTATGAATGGAAATCATATATGCTGCTGTCCATGTGAGTGAGTTAATGAAATAGTATGTTGTACGTTTCATATAAGGTTACTGTAAATACATACATTTAATTTCATTTAACAAGTAACATTCAGAGAAGGATTTTATAAAAGCATCATGGACTGTCATGACATGTTCAATCCTATGTGCAATGCATATAAAATAATTTGCTTTCTTTGCAACAAAATTTAATGACATGACAACTGAGGCTCTTTAAAACCTGATGCACACCTTCCCGAAATGTTAAATTGTGAAATTAAAACCCAGAGAAAGTGAATGCTTTTACAAGATATAAACCTCAATGAAAAGACCATTCTTATTCCCTCATTACACATACTTATAATAATTTTGGATGCACAATGAATAACTTATATAGACCTGAAATTCGACTTACATGTATTTACAATGGTTTGTCTTTGAGGGTTCTCCCCATCACGAGAAGAATGCCCGCATCATTATTATTTATTACAATATTAAATATTCATGACCTCATTAATATTCCGACAACACTCACAGGCACTCCAGAGGACCCTAATTAAGTCTTTATAAATACATGAAAACTAATCAGGTTGTAAACTGACAAAAATTTACCCTTCAAGCATTTTGCATCCATTAAGTATAGCTGTACAAATTAATAATTAATTGATTATGACATCAGAGAATTTGTTATGTTGTTGCTGTTGTCATGGTTATAAGAATGTTTGAATAATAATTTGTTGCTAGATGTGAATTTAAGATTATTTTAAAATTTTTCTCAAAAATTGATAATACATGCACGGTACTTTTATTTGCATTGAATTTCATTCATCATATTATCTTTCAAATAAAAAGTGTTTGTTCAGCGAAGCCACATAACTGTGAAAAATCAGGTCTGAACGTAAGTGATACGGAAATGAGTGAACAGGTGGAAGGCGGCAAGCCCATCTGTTTCTATGCTATACCAAGCACATATTGACCTTTTGTTTATTGGCTTGCATTCAAGTTAATTCTTGGTGTTAACGAAAAAGGTTT